GAGACTTCTCTAGATATAACTGAGTTTATACTGTTTTGGGGTTTTGCGCTCAATGCAATGATGAAGGGCGGTACAATGGTCTGTTTTCGACATGAAATCGAGTCTATACTTAAGGGTTTAATTGCCAAACATCCAAAAACGGCGGAAGAGCGTGCGGCTTACCAATTAGTGCCATACTTCAGAACAATTAATATATCCAATAAATATTTGTCAATATGGCATTTAAGTATAACATCAATATTTGTTGTTCATCCACTGATAGCATCGATACATGGTTATGTAAGCCGTGAGGATAAAAATAAAAGTTTTGACTTCACGTTACCTTTCATGATGACCTATTTCTATGATATAAATCAACCAATAGCTTATGCGATTTCATATCTTCTACAATGTTGTGGGGCATTCCATGTGTCACTATTATTTTTGAGTGGTGACTTATTGCTCATCTCCATGGTGCACTTGGTTAACATGCATTTCGGATATTTGATTTATAAAATAGAGAGTTTTCAACCTACCGGTACGGATGCTGACATGAAAGTGCTCGGACCTTTGATGGTATATCACAATGAAATGTTGAAGTAAGTAAATTCACAAACGAAATTTTATTAAATTGGATGATGCTCAAGGGCCCGTTCCTTGTAATTTAATTAACGATTTTAGTAGCTTTGGATAACAGTATTTAGAAAACACAATTGCACCTGATCTAATTGAGCGCTTCGAATAAGATTTTTCTTTGAAAGTATTCGAAAGTTTACAAAAGTCACACTTACAGATGATCTAAGGACACTATAGATACATATGTGTCTTGGTCAATTCGCAGCTTTAGCCGGAACAATTTTAGCTATATTCAAATGAAAATTTCTATTGAACAACCGATTGTGAATATTAGTTTGTAAGCGGGACTGCCAAGTGATCAGTGAACTAGTGTTCATCGAAAAAATTAAAATTTTGCGAACAAGTTTTGGCATACGGTTCCTCCATTTGATATCTAGTATACACAAAATGTTGAAAGTTCTGCTCTTTTCTATTAGTTATAGTTGTTTTCTTGCATATTCTTTCAGTTATGCTGAGCGAATCGATAACACTTTCGGCGTGGCCACACTTCTCAACTATGTCGGATCATGCTTGGTACTTTGCCTTATAGGTCTTCAAATAGCAATGGGCTCGGAGGCTGTAATCGTCATTAAGTTTATCGGTTTTCTTGTTTCAACCATAGTGCAGGTCTTTTTCGTCTCATATTTCGGCAATAACATGAAAGATTTGGTAATTAAAAAAAAAAGACCAAAAAACATTTTCCTTGAAATTTTCCTTGAACATATCACATTTCATCTAAACTAAAGAGCACTGGTATAAGTGATGCGTTCTACAATCATCCCTGGTACGATGCCAATTACAAGTATATGCGAATGCTAGTTCTACCCATAGCACGTTCTCAGCGTTATGCTCACTTGACGGCTTTTAAATTCTTCGAAATCTCAATGGATAGTTTTAAGTCGGTAAGACATAAATATATTATACGCTGTAATAAGCTACTTTACTTGTATATTCCTTATTTCCATAGCTCTGTACAACTTCTTATCAATTTTTTACACTTCTGCGGACAAGCATGGAAGAAGAGGATAGTTAGATGCATAGAAATTGAGCGGAATTTATTCTGGGTAATCGCAGAGATATTTTTAAAATAGTAATCTCAAAAAATATATGTGTCTATTATTTTTGAAAGTTGTAAGGTTTCAGGCATATACTGAAATTAATTTTGTGAAAGAAAATAATATCTTAAATGTTGAAAAGTTTTGCTGCATTCGTTTTATAAGAGAGCCTGGAAAATTAGGGAAACCCGAATCATACCTTAATCTTTATTATGCTAAGTTGATGTGTTGCTGTCTTTGATTAGATTATCACAGGATTTATTTATATAAAATATTTTGTTTAAATTGCAGACCAGACAGAATAGAAAGCAATTATGGCAATTCCTAGGCAGTTAATATTTTTGGTATATACAATAAAAGTCAACCGGAAAGTAAAAAATTTATTTTTGGAATATATAGGACTGGACTGATTTAATATACTTTTGAGAATATGTTTCCACACAATTTCACACATTGACTGATATATTTGGCATAGAAGAATACAGAGGTATTACTCATTAGTCATACATCTGTATACCTAGGAAAGCATTTTCATTTAAGTTTGCTAAGCTATCTTTCATATTGACAAATGAACACACTGGGTGTCCTAAAATTACAATAAAGTATATGGGGTCTACTTTAGAGGAAGTATTTATTCGATTTGAGAACCGCCATACCTAGACAATGTTGGCTTCTCGTTTTATTCGGCTATTTTCACTGAAGATTGACGCAATTTAGTATTGTGTTACATGGAATATGGGCCTTGTTGTAGTCCAATTCCATGTATTCATCGGAGATATGAGAAGTTCATATAATGTTATGTAATGAGTTCGGTAGAAATGAGTTGAGTAATTGACACACAAAAGAGTGGCGGTAAGCACACTGTCCAATTTTTAAGCCGATTTCAAAGCAAATTTCTTCGCGGTAAAGTAGATTGCTTTAAAGGATTGCTTTTTCTTTAAACGTTTGTTACTTTTAATAGTTTTGAACATAACCTTTGTAAGGGCATTGTTATTATAAATTTTCGCATCACGACGTTCGGTAGAATATAGTTCGGCACAGGCGGGGACACATAAGACATCAACACTAAAGTTACTTTTGTCAAGATAAACTCAGTAATATGCAACCTGGACATGTTAAGAGTGACACACCAATTTATCAAAGCGTGGACGTGAAAGGATATATTTTAGAGACATTTGTAGAAAATTTCCGAGCTTATTATGAAAAAGCTGAATGAGGATCTCTTTGTTGGTCCTGAAATACGAGAATACATGTAAAACATATTTCTCTCTATTTACTGTGATGCTACACAATATTTTGTTTCATGATTTCTAATTTTTGTTATGTAAAATGAAAGTAAAGACATTAAAGTAAACGAGAGAGAGAGCGTATCCAAAACTATTCGTATATCTAAGACAACAGAATCTTTGTAGACCAGTGTTATTAGTCCTAAAATTATTATTTGCAAGTAAGAAATGGCTAAGTTCGGGTACAACCGAACATTTTATGCTCTTGCAACTTGCATTAATCAAAGCCAGGGAAATACCTCATGATGAAAACGTCAACCAGAGGATCGGAATCTACGCAATTTTACTTATGCATACACCATATATAACTTATACACTGACCTATATATATTCGGCATAAGGGTTGTTAGAAAAATCAAAATCATTATACATAGTCATTATACAAAATGGATGTTTGAAAATCCTGGTAATGGTTATATAGGAGCTAGGTCAAGTTTTCGCCCAATTATGTCCATTTTAGGCAAAATGATATATAGTTATTAGTCAAATATGCTCTGAAAATCTCATTGAGATAACGCAAGTATTGACCGATATATCCAGCATAACGTCAACAGGAAGTTCTAAAATCTTTATGTTAAGTATATGGGGGCTCTGGGAAGTATTGATTGATATAGTTATCGATTTATCGCGCTTTCAGTAGTTTTGAAAAGTACTGTTATATGGGGAATAAGCGGGGCTTTTATCCGATTTCATCCATTCTCACACTATCGGTAGTAGTTCTTATAATATTCATGCTAGGCGAATACGGTTGTATCGGCTTTAGTAGTTTTGGAGATTTGCACATTAAACATATTAGAGGGCGCAGCTACGCACAATATTTTCTTGCTTTCTTTATTTACTATTTGAGACCTCTTTCTATTATACATTATATTGTACATTATATTATGCAAATATTAACATTTTATCGTCCCTCAATAATTATTATATAATGATTTAATTTGTTTCACAATTTTAAGATAGTTATTTAAAATCAAACAGCTGATGTTATTTCCATGTCTCTCGCAATGAACTTCAATTAAACACATTATATTTTATAAAAACGGTCAAATTATTTCGCTTCATAATTACTTTGCAGATGCGTAGACAGAAAGAGCTAGGGGGCTAGAAAACCCATTATGATGAAGTACAAGTACCGTAGTCACCAGACTTAAAGAATGCAGTTTCGAGAAAAAGATGCCAAAGCCGACTGATCCAAACTCTTTGACATCAAAACTGAGTGTATAAGGTAGAACCTATGCATTCATTATTTGCGTGTTCGAAAAAGTCTTTTCGTATTTCTAATCAAACTTCAACTTTTTTTATTTTTATACTAAATAATAAATAAATAAATAAATATGTACCATTTTGATCAACCACTTTTTGCCATTTTTCCGCTAGAGACATTATTCCATCAGTGTAAAACTTTCATCAGTGTAAATCGCACCATTGTTGTGCTACACGAACTGATACGGCACCATCTCCGTAAACTTCACAAATTTCATTGGTGACTTGCCTTTTTTATACAAAAGTTTCAAAATATAGCAAATTTCTTCACTATTTTCACTAACTTTGGAACCGTTGTAACTTTTTTCAACTGTCACGAATTTAATTTACTTTGGCTAAATGAAGCATAAAATCTCACCTTTCCAACACTATATGGTATGATGTTATTTAATTGATAGCACTGGAAATATACGACTGCAACGGCATCTATAAACAAGATACGCAAAGACTTTTTTGACTTTGAACGGATATCAAGAAAATATATAAATAACGGATATTTGATAGGTATTAATATAGTCATTAAAAAAGTAATTCTCTATAAAGTCTTATATTGTCTTAAACAGTATTCGAATAATATATACATATAATATATTATTGCTGCATAGTAATTATATTATAATTACATACAATATTATATGCTGAAAAGTGTAGCTGAAGGAACTAAAATGAATCATATTTGCCTTTAACTCCACATTTCCTTCAAACGGCGCCTTTTGCTGCGTACTTTCCTCCCACACTGTATAAAAGCCTTTTCTACCGTTTACTTTCAACAATTCGCAAGTGTCTCTTAGTTTTAATCACAATGACACCGATATTCAAAAGCAGTGAATTCGTACCATCTGTATCGGATTTCGTTAATATACCATTTTTTCTAATAAAATGTTTGGGTGTAAAACTTTTCAAATGGACACCGGATGAGTCAATAACCAAACTACAAACAACACTACTGGGATTATTCACGGTTTTTTCGATTTTCAATTTTACAAGCATGTTGCTCTACGTCGTCTACGAAGATTTGGAAACCTTACTGGATATAACTGAGTTTGTTTTATTTTGGGGATTCACGCTGAATGCTCTGATGAAGGGCGGTACAATGGTCTGTTTTCGACATGAAATCGAGTCTATACTTAAGGGTTTAATTGCCAAACATCCAAAAACGGCGGAAGAGCGTGCGGCTTACCAATTAGTGCCATACTTCAGAACAATTAATATATCCAATAAATATTTGTCAATATGGCATTTAAGTATAACATCAATATTTGTTGTTCATCCACTGATAGCATCGATACATGGTTATGTAAGCCGTGAGGATAAAAATAAAAGTTTTGACTTCACGTTACCTTTCATGATGACCTATTTCTATGATATAAATCAACCAATAGCTTATGCGATTTCATATCTTCTACAATGTTGTGGGGCATTCCATGTGTCACTATTATTTTTGAGTGGTGACTTATTGCTCATCTCCATGGTGCACTTGGTTAACATGCATTTCGGATATTTGATTTATAAAATAGAGAGTTTTCAACCTACCGGTACGGATGCTGACATGAAAGTGCTCGGACCTTTGATGGTATATCACAATGAAATGTTGAAGTAAGTAAATTCACAAACGAAATTTTATTAAATTGGATGATGCTCAAGGGCCCGTTCCTTGTAATTTAATTAACGATTTTAGTAGCTTTGGATAACAGTATTTAGAAAACACAATTGCACCTGATCTAATTGAGCGCTTCGAATAAGATTTTTCTTTGAAAGTATTCGAAAGTTTACAAAAGTCACACTTACAGATGATCTAAGGACACTATAGATACATATGTGTCTTGGTCAATTCGCAGCTTTAGCCGGAACAATTTTAGCTATATTCAAATGAAAATTTCTATTGAACAACCGATTGTGAATATTAGTTTGTAAGCGGGACTGCCAAGTGATCAGTGAACTAGTGTTCATCGAAAAAATTAAAATTTTGCGAACAAGTTTTGGCATACGGTTCCTCCATTTGATATCTAGTATACACAAAATGTTGAAAGTTCTGCTCTTTTCTATTAGTTATAGTTGTTTTCTTGCATATTCTTTCAGTTATGCTGAGCGAATCGATAACACTTTCGGCGTGGCCACACTTCTCAACTATGTCGGATCATGCTTGGTACTTTGCCTTATAGGTCTTCAAATAGCAATGGGCTCGGAGGCTGTAATCGTCATTAAGTTTATCGGTTTTCTTGTTTCAACCATAGTGCAGGTCTTTTTCGTCTCATATTTCGGCAATAACATGAAAGATTTGGTAATTAAAAAAAAAAGACCAAAAAACATTTTCCTTGAAATTTTCCTTGAACATATCACATTTCATCTAAACTAAAGAGCACTGGTATAAGTGATGCGTTCTACAATCATCCCTGGTACGATGCCAATTACAAGTATATGCGAATGCTAGTTCTACCCATAGCACGTGCTCAGCGTTATGCGCGCTTGACGGCTTTTAAATTCTTCGAGATATCAATGGATAGTTTTAAGTCGGTAGGACATATGTCATAGATTACAATAAGATTTCACAGATACTTTTTATTATATTTTTACAGCTCTGTACCACATCATACCAATTTTATACACTATTGCGGACAAGCATTGAGGAAGAGGGTGTTTAAATTAGACGAAGGTTGGCGGAGATTTTTATTGGTTATCTCAAATATACTTTGTAAATAACAATTTAACAGGCTATGTGTCATCTCATATTACGAAAATAGGCGGTGTGCATAAATCGTAACAAATATTAAACATGAGATACATTTGTTTTCTTAGGCTTAAAATAGTTGTATACATTCTGCTTTACATTTCTAAAGATTGGCTTCACTTCAATTGGACAAATTCAATGGAATGTGTCAAAATAGTGAGGCATCCACATCTACTCTTGTCTCTAATTTCGGTGTCATCGATTTCTAAAGTCATGTACTCTGTCGTTACAGAGTTTTATTCATAGAAAAACTCCAATTTTTCGTTACTTAATATTCTATTATATCTACTTTAAGCCTAGTTTAAGATGATATTACGTTTATTTCATTTTCTTCAAAGCTGTAACATACTTTCAGCGCATAATTCCAACTCTTTAAGTCTAGTATGTACCCTTGCACATGAAAAGTTACCATTTCATGTCCTTCAATTATTGCTCATATTGCTTCAATGTATAGATTAGGGTATTAACAGAAATGAAATTTTTATATCAGAATATTGCCTTGGTCACAGTCGTCGAGTGTACTAAGTTTCTTAGGAGATTCTGTACAGTTTTCCTCAATCGTTTCTTGTCTTCCGTCCATGGATAGAGATTGTACTGTTAAGGAAATCGGAGGTTTAGAGAATGAAATCTTTGAAAATTTCATCTGCACTGCCCTTAAAGCATTTAATGCACATATCTTCCAAACCGCTTAAAGTTACAGCAATATAACTGACTGAGAGGAAGTTATTTCATGTACTCCATTTCCGTCTAAATCTTTCACTTTACGCTATACAAATCAAGTATATATAAAGTTATCAGAGTAAAACTTTACACTAATGACGCCCTCAATGTATAAAAACAGGTCAACAATTCCCTTAGCCTCATATACATACAAATGTGCATAATACAAATATTTTCGAACCTTCAGTTGTCTTTATAACGCATGTATGGTTCAATAAGTAAGAAATTTTAATATAATGTAGAAATAAACCCTTTCTAATAACGGTGTATCCTCTTTCTTTTAATGAATAAATTGCGGCGAAATTTTCTTGACTTTGATATAAAGTTTTGCCAAACCCTGAAGGGGTTCTGATAAATGCAGATAACCTCTTATACTTTAGATTGACCGAAAACCGAGAATGGGAGTTTCACAGAGTTGTAGTACAGATTTCTAATCTCAACACAATGACTTGTGGCACTACGATAGACAAAGTTATTGACACATATATAAGAAGGTGTTCTATAAAATGTAACACCAAGCTCCATCGAGACGTCTCTAGCACTCTGCTTTCAACTTTGTACCAAATTACGAGATTAGATTCAAAAAAAAAATTTTTGTTTTTTCAAGTACCACCCTAATATACAAAGATAAAAATTCCTATATTTTTCACTCATATTTTATGGCTTTGTAATTATTTCCGCTTTTTCATACTTTAGTCATTGTTCATTGTCCGAGAGTACATTACGTAAACTCTTCAGTTATGTCGCAAATCCCTTTTGTATGACCATAACGGTATTTGCTGTAACCACACCGTCTATTATGTCTGCATAATTTGTACCTACAATTAAAAAACTTTTTATATTTATTTAGCGGCTGAAACAGCCTAGAGCACGCAGAGCCAGACGAGCGACCGCCATTTGTCCACTAACTGCCATACGCTGTCACATGCCGTAATACGTTGATATCAGTGACCATAAAAGCGATGTTGTCATCCATCAAAAGCGACTGTGGGGTACTTTGGATCGGTGTGTATATGTGTGGGTGCCATGTTGCGATAATAAAGGGACAACGGCGCGCGTAATGCTCATAAAGACACCGAATAAAGTATTCTAAAGCACTACAACAACAACAACAATAACCATCAAGAAAACAAAATTCAGCAAGATTATGATATAAAGTGCGAGATATAAAAATAAGCAACAACAAAATTATGGCTTAACTATGTATGTTCCCAAAAATGCATGTTTGTCTCGCCTTTTCTTGGACATTTTTCGGTTATACGCGTTAACATATCCATTTTGCGGTCTATTGTTGCTGTTATTATTGCATTTTGCTTCTCCTTTTTTGTTTTGCATTATTTCTCCATAACTCTAAAAACAAAAACCAAGTGAAAGCGAAAAGTCCTGCGTATTACAAAACCAACGAAATAATTGTATGCGACATTCTTTCGGTTTCACGCTTTGGGAAATTATGCAAATTCTTTTTTATGCTTGAAATGTTGACGCGTATAAAGCGTAGCAGCTCATACTCTCATGTCGGTAATAAAGAATAACTTGCATATTTTGAATGTGTGCACCCGAGTGTAACAAGGACATGAAAAATACTTCTTATATACGTGTCTATATGGGTTTGTCTGAGTCAAAAAATGTTATATAAAATGTGAGTACTTTTTCTATAGAAATGAAGTTGAGGATTAATAGAAACCTTGTAGAAAATCTTTGGTAATTATTTCACTGAAGTTTTAAGAGCGAGAGTTTGTGAATATCTGCCCTATCAAAATTGTATATTAAATTAAGGGATTTGCATAACTAAGAATTCTTAATGCTACTCTTACCACGACGTCTTGATAATGTTGTAATTTTTTGTGGAAATAGTTAACCCAAAGAGTTGAAAGTTCAGTAAGTCAACGGTTCTCCTCGTGCCCGAGCCATAATCTTAAACCAGTAAACGTTTGCACCAGTAACCTCTGTAGACAGTTTAAAATCTTCAAAATCGATTTTGAACTGGAAAAAAATCTACCGTTGCGTCATCAGCACTGCACTCAAGAGTGTTCAACTTGGATAAATTTTACTTGTGCTACCCTGTAACTCAAATATCTCACTCTAACATCATAGTTGCCATTAGAACTCCAATCGACTTAATGCTTTGTTTGAAAGTAGTAGTTGAATTTCAGGTTTCATCTTTTGTGGGTTGAATGCGGTTAGAACAGATATATATAAATCCGATTTAGCTAAAATTACTTATATGCCACAGTAAGTTGGATTCTCATTTCATTAATATGGGCACGTCAACACTTGCTAGCGTACCTGTGATGTCACCAAGTTGGTGGTAGTTGTTATTTACATCGTTAAAGGGAACTGTATAAAGTGTCATAATAAGCACTAAATTAAGAATTATAACTGTTATTTGGCACAGAAGATCGCAGCAGCAAGAAGCACCTGTGGGCTAGAAACTAGAAATAAAGTGGGCATGGCCCCGTACTCTAATATAATTATTGTTCATATTTCTCAAATCGTTCAGGCCAAAATAACCAAATACGCTCAAGGTAAATCCCTTTTATAGTGGCTGATATAACTAATTATAGGATTTTCGAATACCAGGCTGACGTTACTACGATTGGTGATTGTATCTCAGGAACCTCTATCAGTTGAATTGCTTGCAAAATGTACATATATAAAATCAAGTCAATACTATATCCTATATGCTTAATATAAAAATTTAAAACTGTCATAAAAAGTAAAAAAGACCGACTACTACGCATTACCCAAATTCTAACATTGTACTACATATGTGACCTAGTCTACGAAAAGGGAGCTAACGTGCGAAAACTAGTTTTCTAGGAAACAGCTGTTAAAAATCTCATCTTCCATCCGAATCAACCAAATAGTGAAAATTGATTTTTTGGATTTTTTGACACCTAAGCCCCCTTTCCGTAGACTAGGTCACATATAATTAATTTCGTTACTCTAGCAAAACTTATGTCCAAACTGGCGGTTTGGATTCCGTTCCTCTGGCTTTGTGCCTTAAGGTATTTCCCTGGTGTTGGTCATGGTAAGCTTAAAGAGTATGAAATATTGAGTTATACCCGAACTTAGCCCCTCCTTAAATGTTTTTTACTATTAATTTTTTTTATATCCAAGCTTAAGCAATAATTTATAATACGCTATTGCAGTTACGCCGGAGAGTGTCGAAGAATACTCAAATCAGTCTATCCGTCATCGCGCGAAACGACTTTTCCGAATATTTTGCGGAATGATCTTGGTCTGGTGGTGACAAAAATCAAATCATGCGAGAATGGAAGCCGAACGGACAACAAGCGCTTCGCATGTTCGTGAATAGTCCTAAACCGAATGGCGATCGATCACGATTTTAAGGAGAACTAGTTCAGTGAAGAATTTCGCTTTTCGCTGAATATTAATCAAAGTGTTCGTATTTGCAGAAATTATTATCTTCAATCCATTGTTGATTGACTTGAAATCCTCAAAAGGTCACAGTTTCTTGTGCTCTATAGCCGGAATCATTGGTCCATATTTCTTTAAAAATTAATCCGGCCATAATGTCATATTCAATAAGGAACGATATTGAGCTATGATTAACGAGTTTTTATAGTTTTGCTTCCAACAATTCCAATTTATTAGAGGAAACTTGTGATGAGCGCATTATGGCGCGTCGTAGGCCGAAGCGTGGCCTTCAAGATCTTGCGAATCTGCATAACGCTTCCCATTCATGAGCCAATGCATTTTTCCGAAAAGGAGGAAGTCGCACTGTGCCATATCAGGTAAATACGGCGAATGGTTAATTATTAAAATGTGATACCGCATTAACGTTTTGGCCGGATGGAACAAATTCTTTGCCAACAATACTCTTGGAATCATACAAGCAAATCAGCATTGTCTTCACTTCACTGACTTCTGAAAGCGCTATTTTTTGGTTTCGGTTCGTCCTCTGCCTTCCGCTTTTCTGGCGCTTCGTTTCGGGATCACATTGAAAACACCACGTTTCGTCACCAGTCACAATATTGTAAAGAAAGTTTTAGAACTTTTTGACCTCCTTAATGATGTCCTTCGAATGTTGGATTCTGAGAAATTTTTGGTTGGCAGTCAATTTGTGCTAAACAAATCGTGCACACACCTTTCGTAAGCCCAAATGTTCGGTCAAAATGCGATAAATTGATCTTTCGGAGATGTTCAATTCCATTTTGATGAATTTCAATG